CCCCAAAACCCCAAAACCCCAAAACCCCAAAACCCCAACCAGACCCCTGCCTATTGAATATAAAATCAATTATAAAGATTCCAAATGGAGTCGAACAGACCAAGCGCGTCATGCAATCAGACTTGAGATGTACCAGGTACAGGGCTGTGCTCAGTACCCGAACTGGATGCCTTTGAAGTGACTTGTGATTCCTTATCAAGCGTCCACCCAAGCCTGTCTTAGAGATATCTACAAGATGGCTTCTAAAAGCCTAATTTGTAAACGAATCCTATAGTCAAGAAGATTCTCTAAAAAGTTACTTAATTACAACAAGATTATAGTATTCTTCTGTCTTATATCTGAGTAGAACTGCATTAAACTATGGATCCCAGTTTTATTATGACAACATTATATTCCCTAAAGATAAAGAATATGAACTTTCATTACCTTAGATGCATGAAAGCATAGCCATGCTCACTGACCCCAATATAGATACATTGAGTGAAGAAAATGAAAAGATCAGAGAGTAAGATATTTTCATAAATTCTGATATGGGGCTTCAAAAGTTAGATATTTAGCGTCCATTTTTACTGTCATGCTAATCCTTAAAGGCTTGGAAGAGGAATCTTAGAAGCATTAGCAATTAAGCAGAGATAAGTCCGATCCCATCTTTGACTATTTCATAGATTTTGGAAATTCCTGGGAGAGAATTTAGGATGAGTTGTTCTCAAAAAGTTTGAATCCATTCACTTCACCATTCCACTTGCTACTCTTTACTTCTAGAACAGAGGAACAGATCGAGCAAGAATCTGAAGAGATTAATGCCCAGCTATCCGAGGATGTTTGTTTTAAAATACTTAAACCAAATTTTAAATCAGGGGCATTAAAAGGAATAGATATTGTTTCTCGATTGTTACTGGTAAATTAAAGGAGATTAAATGCTTTAGAGAATTGAAATTAGAGCAGACTATTTCTAAGACAAAGATGCCTGTGATCCCTCAAATTGTACTTATTCAAGTTGATCTTAAAAATAAATATACCTGAAACCTTGTTACCAGCTCTATTCCAACTGCTACTGAGAGGTTCAGTATATCCAAAATGGGAAGAGGGAAGGATCTTAGATATTTGGATCCTCTCTTCAGTACTTCTCGAGCCACACCAAAACAATTTGTCATGCATGGTTTAAAAAAGGTAAGTCGATCTCTTAATCTTTAGTATCCACGGAAAGCAGTTGAAGATATTATTGTCATCACACAAGCATAGCGAGTCCTTAGAAATCTTCAATTCTACATTCTCTTTGCTAAGTGATCTTGATTTTTCAGAATGATTCAGAGGAACGACTCTCAAAAGACTCATCTTTACACAATGAGAGATGGTCAACCCTGGTGATCAGGATGAAACCTACAGTAAGCTTGAAAGCTTTGTTTCAGGTTTGGCTAAATCCTCTGATCTTATGAAGACCCTCTGGAAACTCAATATCCAAAGTGGAGTCTATTCTGTTAAATTCACTCAAGATATTCTGGCGAAATACGGATTCCCTCATGTATAAATTTAATTCATTTTAATAGATTTATACGCCAATTTTCAGTGTTCAAAAAGGGGTTTTGGGGTTTTGGGGTTTTGGGG